TAAAAATTGTCCGGGCAAGGTGGCTCATGCCTGTAATCCCAGCACTTTGGGAGGCCGAGGCGGGCGGATCATGAGGTCAGGAGATCGAGACCATTCTGGCAAACATGGTGAAACCCTATCTCTATTAAAAATATAAAAAAATTAGCTGGGCATGGTGGCAGTCGACTGTAGTCCCAGCTACTTGGGAGGCTGAGGCAGGAGAGTTGCTTGAACCCAGGAGGCGGAGATTGCAGTGAGCTGAGATCGTGCCACTGTACTACAGCCTGGGTGACAGAGTGAGACTCTGTCTTAAAAAAATAAATAAATAAAAATTTTAATTAAAAAATATTTTAAAAAGAGAAAGATGACTGGGCATGGTAGCTCACAACTGTAATCCTAGCCCTTTGGGGGCCCGAGGTGGGTGAATCACCTGAGGTCAGGAGTTCAAGACCAGCCTGGTCAACATAGTGAAACCCTGTCTCTACTAAAAATACAAAAAATTAGCTAGGTGTGATGGTGTGCACGTATAACCCCAGCTACTCAGGAGGCTGAGGCAGGAGAATCGTGTGAACCCAGGAAGGGGAGGTTGCAGTGAGCAGAGATTGCACCATTACACACTCCATCCCGGTGACAGTGCAAACTCCGTCTCAAAAAAAAAGAAAAGAAAAAAAGACAGTTGTACCTTTTTAAATGTCATGCTGTGGAGGGGTGATGGTAAATGATTTCTCAAATGTCTTTCCTTGGTTCTTCTGCTAGCATAAGGAGACCTGAGGCTGGTGATAGCAATGTGTACAGTAGGCATTACATGGCAGAGGGGAGGCAGCCACAAAGGCATGGCCTTGAAGGCCAAATCTCTTGTTTTATCACAGTTAATGCCCAAGACTTACTACATTTCCTGCTTTACTGAGGCTTTTGATAACTGGTGGGTGTGACAGTAATACATGGGTGTGTCCATGATATAGTATGTGTGCTGCTGAGTTATTGTCCTGGCAGAACAGCCCCAGATGGAAGGTGTTTTGTCATGCCAACCCCAATTAAGGAAACCAGCCCTGTTCTTCTTGAGAGCCAGGAAGTTATTTTGAAATAATATAATCCTGTAAGCACTGTGGGAGTAACTTACAGGAGCAGATCTTACAGAAGCCACCATTGGGAGGGTGACTACCCCTGTTCCTTAGTCACTACAGTTGCTTGCTCAGTCTCCAAATCACAGAAAGTCTCAAACTTCTCAAGGGACTTTTAGATTGCCTGTGCAAAAGGGAGAAAGAATGATGCCCACAGGTGTCAAAGAGGTGCCTTGCAGGTAGTAACCCAGAGTGACGTGAATCAGGCTGCTAAAGAGCAGATACCCGATGCATTATGGGAAATGCGGGGTGTTAAATAAAAAACTTAAAAGTTGACCTGATTTGCCTTTTTATAGATGAAGGAGACTTTTTTGTAAGGCATCTTTGAGCCGGGGGAAAAAATGTTTCTATATTTTATTCGGTGTGTGCCTGTTTCTGGAACCGAGCTTTAGTAAGTGATTAACGTAGAAAAGTTCTTTTAAAAGTGGAAAAATCTGTATGAGCCAAAGAAGCCCCTTTCCAACCCTTTAGAAACACATATAATTTCTTCTAGATCAGTTTCCAAGTTAATATTTGTCTAATTTTTGTGTGTTGAGTAATACTTTTCAAAAGATATTTGTAACCTCTCTAGACCAATCTTCCTCCTCCCAAACAATATAGGTTGGGAACGCTGTATAGGGAGAAGTGATTCATAATTAATGGATTCATGGACAGCATATTTTAGATGCTGTCAATCTTCAAACTTGTACATTGAACTTAAAAGTTGAAAAAATTCACCAAATATTCCCATAAAGAGAAGTTTAAAATCCAAGCTAACTGGCAACTCTGCCTTCAGTGGAATTGGCAGGCTTGCTGTCTGAGAAAGCAGTGGTGATGACTCAAGCTAAAAACCACCTCTCCAAAGGCCTGAGGCAGGGAGGTCAGTAGCAGCTACCAGATCTGTGTGGCTAATTCAAGTTTTCAGGCCTTAATACCCAGCCTGGACTATCAGTGTTCCTGTGCTGGTTAAAGAAGCTTTGCCTCCATCAAGATGGTAACAGTTGATTTTTATTTTCAAGTATTTCTTCATTTTCTTTGGGGGAGGGGGTAGGGGAAAATCATATTTAGGTTTAAGATGATGGAGACAAGGAGTATCTTTTTTTTTTTTTTTTTTGAGATGGAGTCTCGTTCTGTCACCCCGTCTGGAGAGCAATGGCACGATCTCGGCTCACTGCAACCTCCACCTGCTGGATTTAAGCAATTCTCCTGCTTCTGCCTCCCTAGTAGCTGGGATTACAGGCGTGTGCCACCACACCAGCTAATTTTTTGTATTTTTAGTAGAGATGGGGTTTCACCATGTTGGCCAGGCTGGTCTTGAACTCCTGACCTTGTGATCTGTCCACCTGGAGTATCCTTATAGTGAAAAAATACTGGGTATGAGACAGTGCTCAGATTCACGTTGGTGAACTGCACGACAGCCTGTTTCTTAGGCATATTGAGATGTTTCTTGACTTCTGTTGGGTATATAACAAGAGTGGGCATTTTTCCTAGGACTGTGGTTTCAGCACTATGGATTCCATGTTTTTTTGTTCCATCATTAACTATAGTTTTGAGGGTTGATAATGACTTTCGATCATTCAGTCCAAATGCATATTCTTTTCTGTGAGTAAATCACTTAATTGTTAATGACATTGTGGCCCAGAGATTTATGTGGCAGGACTTGGATCAGAACTGAATTCTCTAGACTCCCAGTTCAGAAGGTTTCTGATTATACTATTTTCCCACCTTGCCCTCATTGGCCCCCGCTTTCCTCAAATCCCATAAAACTTATGGCTTTGTAGGTCCCACACACCAGCAGTACCATGGCACATCCTGGCCTTTTTCCTGTTCTGTAGTACAGTCCCAATCAAGAAGCCTTATTAATCTCCTGTGTGGTAGACCAGACTCATTGTTGGGTTTTGGGGATCCAGTGGTGAGGAGTATTCAGTCTACCAGGAGAAATGAGTTGGCCATGTTCTACAAGGAGCAGTAAAGCTGTTGTTTTTTGAGATGGAGTCTTGCTCTATTGCCCAGGCTAGAGTGCAGTGGTGTGATCTCAACTCACTGCAACCTCCACCTCCTGGGTTCAAGTGATTCTCTGGCCTCAGCCTCAGCCTCCCGAGTAGCTGGGCTTACAGATGACTGCCACCATGCCTGGCTAATTTTTGTATTTTTAGTAGAGACGGGGTTTCATCGTGTTGACCAGGATAGTCTAGAACTCCTGACCTCAGGCAATCTGCCCACTTTGGCCTCCCAAAGTGCTGGGATTACAGGCATAAGCCACCGCACACAGCTTTTTTTTCTTTCTCTTTCTTTCTTTCTTTTTTTTTTTTTTTAAAGACAGTTGCTTGAGGATGGTTTTAGAGGACAAAGGGGAATTTGCCAGCCAGATGAAGGGTGAGGGTACGGGACTTCTAGGTGAAGTGATTTAGAAAACTAAGAGGATTCTGCCCATCGGTAGTACTGGGCAGTGAAGCTGGTCACACGTGGCATACTGACAAGTTGCAGAACTCACTGGATGTTGTCATGCTGTTGCTTCTCCAGCCTGATTCAGAATGGAAAGAGGTTGCCAAAAGCATCAGTGATCTTCCGTTTTCTTACAGGTTAAAGAACGTTAAATGTCTTTGGATGTGATGGCTGGTGTGACTGTGAACAGACTGTGGCTAGTGTGGGTTATGTGATACCTGGAGGCCCAGTGGCTTAGGTGTGATCAGGAGGAAGGTTTGGGGAGAATGCTTTGGTTAGACTCAGAATTGGAAAGACAGCAGGCTCTGTTTGGAGACTTCCTGTCCTTTGTCCAAGATGCCGTTGGGATGAAGGTGTGGATGCAGCTTTGCATGTTCAGCTCCTGGAACCAGACACAACTGCCTTTCAGTTTTCACAGCCTTGGAGGAAACAGATAATGAATGATAGGAAACAGCTGCTTCTAACGTGGCAGGCAGAAATGCATCCTCATGGAGCAATTTGGTCATCACAAGATTATTAGTGGAAAATCATCTCTGATTAAACATTCGGGAACTATGGAGTGTGATTTGTTTTCATATATTCACCCTTCTCCTGATTGTCTTTCCATTGGCCTGTAGATTTTATTTTTATTTGTCAAATAATACAGAAATACTTTCTTGTAAAAAAAAAATTTAAACAACAGAGCTCGAGGTAGGTTGGAAAAGATACCCTTCTCCTTTTCCAGAGCTGGGACTCAGCACCTTCTGGAACCTTTCCTAGACACTTGTGTACATGTTTATACTTACTTACACATAATCATTTTCTTTTTATACATGGATTTGTACACAGTTTGAATCTGTTTCTTTTTACATTGAATACTGTCTTAACGATTTCTCTGCATCACTATATTTAGATAAACCTCAAATTTTTAGAAGTAATGCTTATGCAATCAAACTTAATTAACTTTATCAATAATTTATGTATGAAAATCTAAGTGCCTCTTAGGAACGGGAAGGGGTTGTGTCCCCCCCCCCCCTACATACACACACACTGGGGCTGGACAGTGGATTTAGGATTTCTGTGACAGGCTGGCTTTCACCTGGCAAAATATCTTGGGTCAGTCTCACAAGGGAGAGCTAATCTCCTGCCCAGAAAGTTTATTACTGTAGTACCAGTTCTGCTTAAAACCAAGATTTAGTCTTTTTTTTTTTTTTTTTTTAATGCCAGGATTATATTAAAGTAAGAGGGGGCCTGAGAAACAATCTTTGAGATCTCCATGGCCTGGGAGAATGTGGGACTTGTATCTTTCTCCAAAGCTTGTTTCACAACTTTACAAAGCCCGTTTAGGAGAAGTTGGTAAGGTTGACCCAAAGGGCAAGGTCACTTCTTTGAATTTTAGTGCTGAGAAGTAGGACGCAGAATTGATAAGGGGGAACGCTTTGGAAGGGGTCATGAGGCAGATAATTGTTTTGTTACATTCGCGGGCTGATGACATCACTGGAAAGCGCTTGATGACTCACTCATAGAACTGTACTGTGCTCTTCAGCTTGTTACCCCGGCAAAGCCGCCGATGGGACTCGCCGTTTTGGTTACTCCCTGAAGTGCAGTGGCTGTTGTCCCAGGAGTAGCAGATGCTCTTGGAATGCAGTCATGATTGCCTTGGCACATGTTATTTAGAAAAGGAGGAAGATGCCTTCTTGGCCTGACAGTGTGACAGCTACCTGCTGTCACTCATTTTCTTCAGTGCTCTGAAGGTGACCAGAACCTGGTCATCAGGTCTTTAAAAATAACAAAACACAGACATGCATAAAATCATACAGCATAAAAGGATGATGTAATTATCAGAGACACATGACAGCATGTGCCTATTTTCCTTATCTACTTTTTTTTTTGAGGTGGAATCTTGCTGTGTTGCCCAGGCTGGAGTCCAGTGGCTGCCACCTCTACCTTCTGGGTTCAAGAAGTTCTTTTGCCTCAGCCTCCCAAGTCACTGGGACTACAGGTGCCTGCCAGCATGCATGGCTAATTTTTTTTTGGATTTTTTTAGTAGAAATGGAGTTTCACTGTGTTGCCCAGTCTGGTCGAAAACTTTTGAGCTCAGATAATCCGCTTGCCTTGGCCTCCCAAAGTGCTGGAATTACAAGCATGAACCACCGTGCCCGGCTGTAATCTACTCTTGAAGGCATCAGGTCTCATATCTTTTGCTTGCCAGTTGCTACCTAAAAGAGGGAAATTCTTGAGGAGAAATGGACTTTCATGCTCAGTTACTTAGAAACTGTGTTAGAATTGACTGCTATCAAATAAGCATGGGAGGAATCTTTAAATTTGTTAAAGATGTGGGATCACGTCCAGGCTTCATAAAGAAATTGTAATTCTGAGGTATGGTGGCACATGCACAGTCAACTATTTTAGTCTGGCTTTCAAAGAAACTGGGCTTTATGGGATTATAAGGAGGTCAAGAACATGGTATATCTTCTGTTGGATGTAAAATTGGTATTTACAGTTCAGTAGTGTCAGTTCTTTGATAGTGGGCAACCAGGGACGTGCTCACATGATAGTCAATAAGTGTTCTTCAGAGACTATATTTTCTTTTTTTTTTGATATGGAGTGTTACTGGCTCTGTCGCCAGGCTGGAGTGCAGTGGTAGGAGCTCCGCTCACTGCAACCTCCACCTCCTGGGTTCAAGTGATTCTTCTGCCTCAGCTTCCCGAGTAGCTGGGACTGCAGTCATGCGCCACCACGCCCAGCTAATTTTTGTATTTTTAGTAGAGATGGAGTTTTACCATGTTGGCCAGGCTGGTCTTGATATCTTGACCTTGTGATCCGCCTGCCTCGGCCTCCCAAGGTGCTGGGATTATAGGCGTGAGCCACCACGCCCAGCCTCAGAGACACTAGATTTAAAATCTGCATTCATCCACTAAATTAGTCACATGAAGAATGAACCAAGCAGACAGCTTTGTTTTCCTGTATCCGTCCTGCTCATGAGACTCTGCTGCGCTCACAGGCTTTACCTGCCTGGGAAAGTCACACGCCAGAACAGGTGCCCCACTTGCTGTAGGGAGAAGGCAGAGCCAGTCTGGGGCAGAGTAAAATACCTGGTGTTGAATCTTTACTCTAGCACTCAACGGTAGTATGACCTTAAGCATTTAGCCCTTTAGGGCTTGCTTTCACATCTGCAAAATGGGCATCATAATACATCACATGGTTGTTATGAGTATTAGTGAAACACCGGGAAAGCGTGTCCAGCTCAGGTTGTGGAATACAGAAAGGCTCAGGAAATGGGACTTGTTATTCAGACATTTAAAAAAAAACAACTCTTTTTCAAGAAATGAGATGGCCCCAGCACTAGACATCTGGTGCCTGGTTCTTAACACTGTACACGATGGATAACTTTCTGTTTCTGACAACCAAGAACGAGAAGGTTTATTTCCCCCAAATTACTCTTCTGGAATTATAGCCATTCTGTGATTTATTTGCCTTTTTTCCTCCCCCACACTGCAGAACAGTTAAATCCCCAGTCTGTTCAAGGGCAGAACTAATCTTAGCCGCAGTGTGAAGGAGTCTGGGGGCCGGAAGAAACTGACAAGGCACAACTACAGTAAGTTGCAAGAATAAAATCTCACGTGACTTTGGCACAAGTTTGAAATTTTAGAGTTTCCCCCAGGTGCTTCCTCTGGAACCACAACAACAAAAAAGTTAAAATCTCACATAAGAGGACGCTTTATTTTTTAAAAAAAGCCATGTTGTAATATGTAAACACAAACATTTCCCTATAGAGACATCCACAGTTTTCGTTCTATGGTGCACATGCTCATCTGGAGTAGCAGGGGGGCTCTATGTGTGCAGTAATTATTGTCAGTCCTCGGTTGACTCATGCATTCCTAACTGTCACAGTGAGATCTGTGTTTATGTGAAATATGGAAACAATTTCCCCCCCTTGATGGAGCGGCTGGATTCTCTTTCTTTGTTATTTTTAGGGTGTCTTCAGTTTTGGAGCTCTAGTTTAGGCTTGAGGAGGGCCAGCTGTCAGTGTGGCTTGGGCTGGTCTTTATGAGATCTGGCTGGTGTTTCTGCAGTTAGAACCTGATTTTGAATCCAACCCCCTTCCACCGACATGGGAGGCTCTCCCTTCTACAACTTTTATTTGCCTCACAATGAAAACAGAATGGAAATGAAAATAACAGTAGTGGAGTCTCCACTGAAAGAAGATTTTTTTTTTTTCTCTGAATTCATCTCCTTTATTGGGAGCCATATGTCTTGTGTCCTGACCACTGCCTTTTTTTCTTTTTGTTTTCCTGCAACTGACTTTCTGTTTGGGTGTCTTAAGGATGGGGAAGTATATGCTGTGTTTTTAAAGCTCAGAGTTTAACTACAGAAAAAGAAAAACCAGAAAACAGTCTGTTCCTCGCTCCTTTTAAACAATTTGTCCTCCTCGGGCAGAAAGTTTTACTATGTAGAATTCAGGGAATGTTTGTGAAAATGATCACAGGCTATAAAGGAGTGTCCAAGCTGCTTTCATTGTGTCCAACATGACATTCTCATGAAATCTGTAGCAAGCATTTCGGAGTCTTGGCAGACAGTTTCTTCTTTCACAGCGTAATGTTTTTCCAACTGCACTGTTCTAGCTGCTTCATGTGCCATGATGCATGGCTAGGTGTCAAGATAGTTTTATAGGGGCAAGAACTCAAAAGGACTTTTAAAACATGCAGCTTTCAGGAAAAAAGGAGAGTGATTTTTTACAAAGGGAGTTTTCAATAAAAAGACATTTGTGAGTTTGTGCTTTCTTCATGGGCAGACCTTTTAAAGATGGCATTGTAAAAACAGGATGTGCATTTCATTCCTTTATTGACGGAGGCCCCCGAGGGGCAGCTGTCTTGAAGGACCTGGGGCTACAGCCATGGAGATGAGTGTCACAGCCCCAGGCCCTTTAAGGAGCTGCACTTTGCCCAGGCATCACACGCATGAATAAACACGCTGAGGCCCAGAATGGCAGAAGGGGGAAGTGATGGATCTTGCTGGTGAGGAAACTGGTGCATGGCTGGTGTCCAGAGAAGGTCTCAAAAAGGAGGAGGAGCTTCTGGAGAGCCTTGGAGGATCAGGAGGAGTTAGCCAGACCAGATAGGTGTGTGGGTGATGTTGTACACAGAAGAAGAGCAAATAGAAATGCATAGAGTGTGAAGCAGCGAGGTGTGTTAGGAGAAGGAATCCCAACTCCCGAGGCTGGAGTGCAGCTTGCACGAGGACAGGCGGAGGGAGAAGCTTGGCCAGCAAGCCTGGGGCCAGCTTTGGGAGGCCTTTGCTTGTCATATGGTCATGTCATTTCCTTCAGGCTGCACTCGCCTTTCTTGGACTGCACCTGCCTTAGCCTTCTTCCTAGTACTTACCACCCATCCTGTTCTGGGTTTGTGTGTTTGCTGCCCATCTTCTGTTGTAAGAACAGAAGCCCCAGCAGAACGGGTACGGTTTTCTGTTATGGCTTCCCCAGTGCCCGGCGGTGAGTGATGCTAGGAGATTTGGACTCATCTTCATAGTGAATGATCGGAGGATCACTGAAGGTCTAAATCAGGGGAGTCACCTGAGTGCATTTGGGTGTTTGTAGAGCAGTGTGAATGACAGGAGAGCTGATGACAAGTATTTAGGGAGAGTCTCCATGCACGTTGAGGGGGAGTGAGTTGGTTAGCGATCCCGCTCTTCAGGCTACCTTGGGTGGGCTCAGGCTTTGCTGGCCTGGTTAATTACCAATAGCTAGTATCAATGTCGTTCCATCAGTGACATTGGAACTGTACTAAAAATTACAGAGAAGCAGCTGGGTGCACTAGTTAACTCCTGTAATCCCATCACTTTGGGAGACTGAGGCAGGTGGATCACCTGAGGTCAGGAGTTCGAGACCAGCCTGACCAATATGGTAAAACCTCCTCTATACTAAAAATACAAAAAATTAGCTGGGCTTGGTGGCATACACCTGAAGTCCCACCTACTCAGGAGGCTGAGGCAGGAATGAATTGCCTGAACCTGGGATGCGGAGGTTGCAGTGAGTCGAGATTTTGTCACTGCACTCCAGCTTGGGGAAGTGTGTCTCAAACAAACAAACAAACAAACAAACAAAAAACCAAAAAAACTTAAAGAGAAGTTCTGATTTTTTTTTTTTTTTCACTCTGCAAAGCTGATAGCTGCCCAGGTATTCCGATAAACGTCATGATGTTATGATCATTTTTGATAGTTCAGTGATTAAAAATCTGAAAGAATTGTCTTTTTTTTTGAAATGCTTTAAAATAAAGTGGGTTCTTTATGTAAAAATCGGTTTTATTAAGTTCTTAAATTTGCTTCAGGACAGCTGACCTCACAGCCATGTGCATTTTGTAGTTGGGCTGCTTACAAAGTTAAAAAAAGATAAGAAAGTAGACATTCTGCAGTTCTTCTGAGAGAGTTGATATGATGTCTCTTTCTGTTTGCTGGGCCCAAGAGGGAATGAACTTGTTCATACATAGGAATTTTCCTGATAAATGAACCTTGAGACCTGGTTTAAGGTCTTGAAATGTGGGTATTTTTAAGACCTGGATATTTTTAATTTTTCCCTCTAGTTTTGGATGGAAATCTTTCTAAAATAAAATTTTTTTGTGTGCTCATAGAGCGCATTCAACATGAGTTCATGATTTCTTCGTTCCTTGCTTATGAAAGAATTTACTGTTCAGAATCATGGAACTGTGTGGTTACTACAATGATAATGGTCTACTGATACTCATATGACTCTTTTGCCGAGTGACCCCAGAATGCCATGTTTCCTAAGTTACTGTCCTTGGCTTTTAGGAAGCCAATGCTCCACGCAACATACACACTGGCTTCTCTTTCAAATTTACTAAACTTGCCTCTCTTGAAGGCTGGGAAACAAATTTTCTGCTTTCTAAAATGAGAACAAACAGTCTGTGGGTGAATGTCTGTCTCAGAAAACCTTAAGTCAAGCAAACGCACTTTACTGCATAGGTTTTATCATATCTTCCACATTTCAAAGAAGGAGCCCTCATTTTGTTTGATTCTTTCTAGCACTGAACCATCCATATCTGAAAAAAAAATATATAGTATGACTTCTACTGGCATCACTGTTGGGTTTGCAGTAAAAGCAAAACCCCCAAGCCTCTTACACTGTTTGCCTAGAGTCCTCCTGGCCTACCTTTTGGTTCCAAGGTATGTGAGGTGATGTTGCTGCAGGTGTTACTGTGCAAAAGGTTTTTGAAAAATAATCTTTGACAATGGTGTTATTATTATTATTTTTTTTTGAGATGGAGTCTTGCTCTGTCATCCAGGCTGGAGTGCAGGGGCGTGATCTCGGCTCTGCAACCTCTTCCTCCTGCTTTCAAGCGATTCTCCTGCCTTGGCCTCCCAAGTAGCTGGGATTGCAGACATGTGCCACTGTGTCTGGCTAATTTTTGTATCTTTAGTAGAGATGGGGTTTCACCATGTTGGCCAGGGTGGTCTTGAACTCCTGATCTCAGGTGATCTGCCCGCTTTGGCCTCCCAAAATGCTGGGATTACTGGCGTGAGCCACCGTACCTGGCCGACGATGGTGGTTATTTATTGGTTGTCTGCCATGTGTAAGGCACTACAAACAGCACAAGGAAATGACTTCATTCTAGAAACTTCAGTTCTAGTTTGGAGGAGGACGTGGTGGAGCAGAGCTAGCCACAGTACTTGGAATTCATCAGAGGTGCAGCAGGTGGCTCAACCCCAGGAAGACCTAGGGCTGGGGAGTCCTCCTCTCTCCAGAAGGCTGGCATTTGACTGAGAGTGCAGCTGCCAAGGGGACCTGGATGGAGCTGAGAGGGAGCAACAGGCCTTGGGAAATTCACGATAGCAGCATCAGCTCCATCTGTCAGTGGGTGGCAGAACACCACACTTGAGATTAAGCTTGTCTACACACGCCAGGTGGGTGGGGAGGACAGCAGGGGCTGCAGGAGACAGAGGAGGTGACCATTTCTACTTAGGGAGGGGGGCGTGAAAACTTCATGGATGAGGGTGGAGTATTACTGGATCCTGCCTAATGAGCATAGTGCTGGGTTGGAGAAGGCAGGGAAGGGCAGCCAAGACGAGAGATGGTGTGCAGGAGGGGCGAGGTGGAAAAGGGCCAGGTGTGTGTTGTAACTGAGGTGCTGGCTTCTCAGCCAAGCTTCTCTGGCTGAGCCTCCCAGTGGGAAGACTGTGGATTCTGGAGTCAGATGGGTCTGGACCTCAAGACCGGTTCGACCGCTTTTTAGCTGTGTCATCTTCAGCAATGTCCATAGTCCCTCTCCATCAGTTTTCTCAGGTGTACAAGGGAGATCAGGAGTGATCTTGTAGACTCTTCAGAAGGAAAAAACAAGACTTAGATTTCACCATGAACACTGTAAACACAGCATATGCTCAGTAAATGGTAGTTTCCTTGGGCCACCTCTTCTGCAGGGCCCTGGTCTGGAGCTTCCCGAGGCTCACAGGCTCCACTTTCTGACTCACTCACAGCCACTGTCGAGTCAGCAGGCACAGGCGGGAAGGCATGACCTCATCTTCTTCCCACGCGTCTTCTCTTGTGTACCATCATTTTTTGCCTGGTGTTGAGTTTGAACCTGGTCCAAACCCTTGGCACCTTCTTTGGTTAGGTTTTGCCCGTCATGTGATGCTATAGTCTATCATCTCATCCTGTCCATTTCTTTGTCCCATGACACTGTAGTCTATGGCTGTGCCGGGTGCACGTCACTCCACATCCAGATGGCCCAGCCGCCTTCCCGAGGGTGTCCCTGACTTTAGCAAGCCCCCATCCAGCTTGCACATTCTTCAGACCCTGCCGAACTCAGTCCTTCCATGGTCCTTCGCTTTGGCCATTTCGTTCCCGTCTAACCTTGTTTTCCATTAGTTCCAAGAACAATAATAGCTAATATTGATGTGTGCTGGGTGTGCTTTAAGGACTTTATATTGGCCCTTTTTTTTTTTTTAATAACCCTGTGAGGAAGGTATGCTGACTATTGCCATTTAATAGTGGAGGGGGCTGGGCGTGGTGGCTCACACCTGTAATCCCAGCACTTTGGGAGGCTGAGGTGGGTGGATCATGATATCAGGAGACTGAGACCATCCTGGCCAATATGGTGAAACCCTGTCACTACTAAAAATACAAAAATTAGCTGGGTGTGGTGGCGCATGCTTGTAATCCCAGCTACTCGGGAGGCTGAGGCAGGAGAATTGCTTGAACCAGGGAGTTGAAGGTTGCTGTGAACTGAGATCGCATCACTGCACTGCAGCCTGGTGACAGTGAGACTCTGTCTCAAAAAAAAAAAAGAAGGTGGAGGGAACTGAGGCATGGGAAGATGATTGTCTAAGCTGCACAGCTAGTCAGTGTTTGAATCAGGCGACCCGACTCCAGACCCTACGCTTCAGACCCACTCTGACTTCACTGTCTTCTAGATGCTCTGTAAGAGCAGGGCTGTCATTCACCTCTACTCGTCTTACTCTGTGCTGTCTCGACATAGAGTAGAAACTCACTAAATCCACACGCTGTGCAACATCCTCACTCCCTGTTCTGTGCCTTGTTTATGCCATTCTCCCCCAGTATGGTGGCAGGAGATGGAGGCAGAGGTCAGTGCTCTCAGGGGTCAGAGCCCAACTCAGACAGTGTGGGCTTCAGATTTCAGCCACTTTCCAGCCACCTTAAAAAATGGCGATAATCATTGTGATGAGTCGGTCCTTTAGTCCCCTGCCTAACACATAGGAAATGGTAAACTGACGATAGCCTCCCTGCCTCTGTCGTCTACTTTGTATGTTCTTTTTGACCCCTTTCAACATGTATGTGCTCTCTCTCTGTCTGGCACTTGTCTGACGTCTTCAGCTCATAACAAACTAAATACTTGTTCCTGTTTGACCGTATATTAGCTGCGTGACTTTGAGCAAGTGACTACGTTTCACAAGCCTGAGGTGCATCATGGTGGTAACAGAGGGTTCTTTGGGGACTGACAGAGGAATACGTGTATCATGGTAAGCCCTCAGTCCATTTTAGTTTTTTTACCTTCTTCCATCCCTCATCTCCAGCTTCCCTCCACTGACCAGTGGGCATTCCATAAAAGCTCATTGATAGACCCAGTACCTCACTTAGTTTAGAAGAAAGGGAGGCTCTTGTTGTGTGGAATAGGCTGGGCTATAGCCAGTTATCAGGGAACTCTAGAAAGTTGTAGAATCCTTTTTTTTTTTTTTTTTTTAAACCTTTTTGAGACGTACTCTTAGTGGTAGTTCTGAACATGGCCAAACCCCTTAAAATTCCCACGATTTTGACGTCCTCTGAACCCATCCATTCAGCAAATAGTTCTTGAATTTCTCCCCTGTCCCAAGAACTGTTCTAGCTGTTGGGGACATGATGGGGACCAAAGCAGTCCTGGTTTTTGTTTTCTTGGGGTTTTGCTGTAGGGAGACAGACACCAGCCATACATATAGTAAACTACATAGCGAGATGGGCTAGGAAGGGAAATGAAAGGTGTCCCAATATATGAAATCAGGGGGATTTAATGTTGAGGGACAGAGAGGTATTCCCAGTGAAAGGGAGGTCTGAGCAGAGATCTGAGGACTCAGGAGGAGTACCCAGGTACAGAGGCAGTGGAATACCTTCAGATTTAATCATCACTCCTTTTCTTTTAATGTAATATACTATTTAGTGTTTTATAAAGCTTGGATGATGACAGGTGATAATTACTCTTAAAATCTGGAGGCGCCCAAATATGCTGTCACTGGCTGCTTTTATCTCACTATAAATAGTACGTGTGTTGGGCCGGGTGAGGGAGGCTGAATTGTATTTAAGCACAACCGGCGCATTGTGTTTTTTTTTATTATACTCAGGGCCAGTTCTGTCAGTAAAGCCCATCCAGGCACTTTGTCACATTATGGATAGTGCTGTCTGGGCTTGCCTGCCCAGGGCAGGTGCTCTTTATTTTAATTTGTATTACATATATTTGCTGTGAAAGTTGTTTTTGTTGAAACTTGAAAAGCCAGGTGCTTGCAGCTAGAGAGTGGGCAGATTTATTGGAAATTTGCTGAACAAGGTTTGTTACCATGAAACAGGGACACCCTCAGCCAAGTGTAATGGGCTACGGAGAGAACTGTCCATCAAAGCCCCCAGGGTCATGACCACTATGGAACTGGCCTTCTCTTTCAGGACTGGCATTTCCTGAAGTGTTATAGCAGGGTTTCTCAAAGTGAGGCACCTGACATAGTAAAGAGAAGGTGTTGTAAGAGACATGAATGTGACAGGGAACTACTGCGTCACTCATGGTGCCAGCACCTTGCTGTCCAGTCTGCGTGATGAGGTCAAGGGAAGATTCTCTCTGTAGTTGTCATTTTTCCAGCACCTTTTATTTGTAATTTTTTCTTTTAACGTGAAGAAGCAGACAATTACATCTAGCTAACTTTGCTTTGTTTTCATATTTATATTCATGTTATTTATTTATTTATTTATTGAGAGGGAGTCTTGCTCTGTTGTCCTGGCTGGAATACAGTGATGTGCTCTTGGCTCACTGCAACGTCTGCCTCCTGGATTCAAGCAATTCCCTGCCTCAACCTCCTGAGTTGCTGGGATTACAGGTGCCTGTGCCACCATGCCTGGCTACTTTTTATATTTTTAGTAGAGATGGAGTTTCACCATGTTGGCCAGACTGGTCTTGAACTCCTGACCTCAAGTGATCCATCTGCCTTGGCCTCCCAAAGTGTATATTCATGATATTTCTATTTACAGCAAGTGACACACATTTATAGCAGTAACTTAAAGATTCTTTTTAAAATGACATTAAAAATAATTTGTTAAATAAGTAAATAATAGTAGAAATGACACTCAGTTTTGGTAAAATCTTGAAGGTAGTACTAGAATGACTGAAGTTTGTGAATACTACCTTGGCTTCATGTGGATTTTTTTGCTTCCACTATCTGGTGTTTAGTTTCTGTTTCTGAGGACCTACTTAGAATTTGGTTGTTAAAATCTGATAATAATATACTACTTCATACCCACTATTATGGCTATACTAAAAAAAGATGGATCATAACTAGTGTTGGTGAAAATGTGAACCTTCATAAATTGCTGGCAGGAAGGTAACATGGTGCAGCTCCTCTGGGAAACATTTTGGCAATTCCTCAAAATGTTAAAGAATTACCACATGACTCAACAGTTCCATTCCTAGGTATATACCCAAGAGAACTGAGAATGTATATTCACCTAAAAACCTATACATGAATGTTCATAGCAACGTTATTCATAATAGCCAAAAAGATGAAACAAACCTAAGTGTCCGTCAACTGATGACTGGGTAAAAATGTGGTATATCTATCCAATGGAATATTAGACAGCCATGAAGAGGACTGAAGTACTTGTGCAGGCTGCAACATAGATAAACCTTGATCACCTGATATGTGAAATAAGACAAATATAAAAGGTTACATTGTATATCATTTTGCTGAATCTGACCCGCAGACTCTGGCCAAGTGACAAGACGACAGAAATTTGCAGGCACAGGTTCTTTTCCTGTGAGCATGCGGCTAGGGGACCCCACAGCTTACAGACCCCGAAAAGGGAGTCTGGCCATGCAGCCCCCATAGGCCAGAAAGGTTTGTATTTATTTTAGAACAGATGTAATGACAAAGGTCTCAAGCAAACATCTGACTTCAGTCAGGTGGTTAATTAACTTTGCCGATCCCCCGAGTAGAGAGCACTCATGCACATGGATGATTAAAGGTTGGTTTCTGGGGAAACAAGTAAATAAGCTATTTAGATAAACTTCTTGACCTTTCTTTGTTATCTGCTCTTTGCTATTAGCTCAAGGTAAGAGGATTAGGCTGCCTTCAGCCATAACCCTTTCCTGAAGCTTTTGCAAAACCTTCCAACATTCCAGGAAGGTTTGTGTCTTTCCTATAATTTTTCCCTCCACCCTGACCGTTCTCCTGTATCTCCCCCTTTTCTGATTTTTGCATCAGGTTTTGTTGATTGAAGAGTACAGATGTGTGCAGCAACAGGTTTGTTGGGCATAGCAGTTATAACTCGTATTCTGGCTTTGCATCCTAGAATTAGTAAATAACATAAGACAAACATGAGTATAATCAGTAACATTGTTTTCTAATCAAGGAATGACGTGTAGTGTTATTTGCCATCTCAGTCCAATGTGTGCCATTAATGTGGGACCCCACTGGGGGGTATGTTAATCCTTGCTAGCCAAGCAGTTGCATTGTTAGAGGCTGGGAAGGGAGTGTCTGTCTAAGTAACAGGTGAAAAAAAGGCAGATTTAGAAGATGGGCTCAATAGAGTGTAGCAGGTACAGGTAGCAGGCAAAATGAGAGAATAAAGGAACAAATTATCTGGAGTGAATGGTGTTTGTGTTTGGAGCAGGATTCACTCAGCCTCCTAAGTTGTTTTCTTCAGCATCCCCAGGTAATGCCCAGGGCTTGTGTCATCCGAGGAAGCCGCATTATGCGTGGCTGTGGGTCCTGCAAGGTTATTTTCTTCATCTCTGGTACCAGGTTGGGTCGTAGCCATGTCATGGTATGTACAGTTTGATGCATTGTGCTGGAATCCAAAAAGGCCTGAGGGAGTGTAAACACAAGCATATCCTCTTCCCCATGTTAGCAAATCATTTGAACCTTACCATTCATTACTATTTACATCTTTCCTTAAAACTGTGAGTTTTATATCTTGAGAGGCTTTAGCAGAGTGCTTTTCTATAGCTGATGGAAATTTTTCAGCAGGAAGGGCATGCTCTATATGGCCGTTATAATCAGAGAGTGCTATATGAAGATTTAGAGATAGGGCAATACTGCTTCGAATTGCTTTTTACCCAAAGGAATTCTTATGACACCAGGGTCAAAACCTAGCAACAGATTGCATTGTCTGTGGCCCATATAGATGACTTTACTAACTAGCTGGATATAGGGAGATAGTGTTTTAGTCCCGATATGTGAACAAAAACCCATTCTAGGAAGTGTAGTCCTGGGGCCATTTGTTCTTAATCCTGTTGGGGAATGGTTAGTAGGAAAAATAAACAACTGAACTAAATGTTTTGGGTCTCTGCGATCCAGTTGTCTCTGAGAAATAGCTTGCTCTATTTCCTCAATTTCCTTTTTTTGCTGCATAGTTTTAATACCTGGAAGAATCCAGAGCAGCCTTGCCTTTTAAGATTAAAAAAAAAAGGTTTTGTAAGTTATCAGTACTTATGCCCAAGGTGGGGCAAAGCCAGTTAATAACGCCCAGTAATTTTTGATCATCATTTAAGGTATGTAAGTTGCTAATATTTAATTTAACCTTTTGAGGCCTTGCCAACCAGGAAGTTAGTATGTATCCAAGATATTTCCAAGGAGAGGACATTTGTACTTTTTCAGGTGCTATGATTAAACCTCTTAACTGTGTATTCCTTTGGACAGAGGCATATAAACTTAAAAATACTGGCTCCATTGGGGCTGCCAGTAATGTATCATCTATAAAATGAATGATCTTGCAATTAGGAAATTCTTTTCTGCTGGGAAGCAAAGCCTGATTTACATGATACTGACACATGCTAGGACTTTAGCATACCTTGAGGAAGCACTTTCCAATGAAATCGGTGAGCTGGCCCTTCATTATTGATAGTTGGTATTGTAAACATGAATTTTTCTCTGTCCTGTTCTGCAAGGCGAATAATATAAAAACAGTCTTTTAAGTTGATAACAATTATAGGCCAATCTCGAGGAATCGCCACGGGGGAAGGAGCCCCTGTTGAAGAGCCCCCATAAGTTGCAGATTAGCATTAATAGACCATAAGTCATGCAGAAGTCTCCATTTGCTAGACTTTGGGAATGATGAAAATGGGTGAATTCCAAGGGCTGTTAGATGGTTTTGTACAGCCAGCTTTGAATCGCTCCTCAACTAAGTCATGGGCTTGCTGTAACGTCTCTCCTTTTAAAGGTCACTGTTCTACCCAAAGAGGATTTTGAGAGAGTCATGTTAGGGGTAGGGGAGGAATAATAGTGGCCATTATTAGAAAGAGGTTTGCTGTTCACATAATTCATCAAATTCTGCCCTCCAGAAGAGGTATCGACTGGCCTGTAAAGTTGTTTTAGCTGGCACTGACCAGTCCCATGGACTTATATGGGAATTGTCCATGGCCTCAGTTAACCCTTTTGTAAATGGGCTAGTGGCTCTGTTTTCTTTAATGCTTTTTCTTATCTCTTTATAAGCTTTAAAAGAAATGGGTTCGTATACCTGATTGCCTTGTAGATATTGCATTACTGGGCAGGCCAAGAGCTCTCCTTCTAATGCTACTTGCCTAAGACAGGGTCCCATAGCTGTAGTGTATCCCTTGTCTTTTAACCACCGTATTGCGGAGGGGGCTCAGGCAAAATCTCTGTTGCCTCTTTGGTATTTTTACCTGGTAATTGCTGGGCTGAGGTAGAAGGAGGAGGTGGTAAGGTAGGTGATGGTTCCTCTTCCCTTCCCTTTTCAGGCTCTTCTGTGCTGAGCGGGACCAAAGCCACCGTGACTAAGGCCCATAACATTAGAGATGTTACTGGGACCTGTTGCCCTTACACATGATGCTTTTTAAGATTTCTCCCCACTTGTTCCCAGAGCAGTAGGTCCAGTGTACCTCATGCTGGGAACCATGGGCTATGGAAAACAGTGTGCATTAGGTCCCTTAGTTGAACCTGAGAAACTGAGGCTCTCCTAACTTTAAGCAGCTGTTTCAGTACTGTTATATGTTGTTTCTGTTGTGCTGATGACTGTTGCCCCATGATGAGACCCTAGCCTGAAAAATTCCCTCGACCTTGGAAATCCTGAGCTGGCACCAATGACTTACTGACTTACTGACTGCGCAGTCTCTCTACCTTCATTTTTGAGGGTTCTGTTGCAATCCATTGCAGTGTTCCTCATGTGGGGGCACCAACTGCTGATTCTGACCTGCAAACTGGCAGAACAACAGATGAAAGGAGTTTGCAGACACAGGTGTTTTTCCTGTGAAAGTGCAACTAGGGGACCCCAAAGACGGAGTCCAGCTGTGCAGCCCCTGTGTGCTGGAGAGGCTTGTATTTATTTTAGAACCGATTTAATGACAGATCTTGAGCAAACACCAATTTAACATTGCTGACCCCCCTGAGTAGAGAGCAGTCATGTGCACGGATGATCAAAGGTTGGTTTCCAGGGAAATAGGTAAACAAGCTATTTAGATAAACTCCTCTACAGTCCCTTGTTATCTGCTCTTTGCTATTAGCTCCAGGTAAGAAGATTAGTCTGCCTTCAGCCATAACCCTTTCCTGAAGCTTTTGCAAAACCTTCTGGCCTTCCAAGAAGGTTTGTGTCTTTCCTATCATTTTTCCCACCATCCTGAACAATCTCCTACATGATTTGAAATAGATGAAATGTTCAGAAAAGGTGAATCACAGAGATAGAAAGTAGATTCATTCTCAACACTTTGGGAGGCCAAGGCAGGTGGACTGCCTGAACTTAGGAGTTTGAGACTAGCCTGGGCAACATGTTGAAACCCTGTCTCTACAAATACAAAAATTAGCTGGGCATGGTGGTACATGTCTATAGTGCCAGCTACTTGGGAGGCTGAAGGTGGGAGGATTGCTTGAACCTGGAAGGTGGAGGTTGTAGTAAGCCAAGATTGCACCACTGCATTCCAGCCTGGGCGATGGAATGAGAACCTGTCTCAAAAAAAAAAAAAAAAGGAAAAAAAAAAAAGAAAAAAATAAGAAAGAAAGTAGGTTCTTGATTGCAGGAGTTGGGGGAATAGGAAATAAAAAAAATGATAGCTCATGGGTAGGGTGTTTCTTTATGGGGTGATGGAAATGTTCTGAAATTACAGTTGACCCTTAATGTAGGTTTGAACTTCACAGGTGCACTAATAAGTGGATTTTTTTTTTCAGTAAACATATTGGAAAGTTGTTGGAGATTTGCAACATTTGAAAAGACTCTGTAGTCTCAAAATATCAAAAAAATTAGAAAAAGATAGGTATGTCATGAATGCATAAAATATATGTAGTTATAAATTGGTGTGTTAATAGACTTTATGTTATCTGTAAAACTTCGGTCAACAGTAGGCTATTAGTAGTTAAGTTCTGGAGGAGTCAAAAGTTACACATGGATTTTTTCACTATGGGGGTTGGCACGCCTAACCCTAAGTTAGTTCAAGGATCAGCTGTAGATAGTGCTGATTATTGCATAACCTTGTGAATACACTAAAATCCACTGAATCATACACTTTAAAAGAGCAAATTTTGTCGTATGTATGTGGATTATATCTTTTTTTTTTTTTTTTTTTGAGATGGAGTCTCATTCTGTCACCAGGCTGGCGTGCAGTGGCGCAATCTCAGCTCACTGCAACCTCCATCTCCCGGGTTCAAGCAATTCTCCTGCCTCAGCCTCCCAAGTAGCTGGGATTACAGGCGCATGACACCATGCCCAGCTAATTTTTGTATTTTTAGTAGAGACAGGGTTTCACCATGTTGGCCAGGATGGTCTTGTTCTCTTGACTTTGTCATTCACCCACCTCAGCCTCCTGAAGACCTGGGATTACAGGTGTGAGCTACTGTACCTGGCTGAATTATATCTTAATAAGAAAGATCTGGTAGCAAAAGAACATAAGACTGGTGATAGAAGGCTTTTTGTGGAGGCGCTGTCTAAGTGTTGCTAATGGAATGGGTCTGGTGTCATTGTCCCATTGCTCAATAGGATGGTGCTTTTCCTAGTGGTGCCCATGTAGGGCACCACCAATAGCATTTGGTGCCAAAATCCCATTGCGGGCTGACATGAGCAACTTCCAGCTGCCTGGACAGAGTGTAATATTAGGTTTTCATCTTCATAGCAGCACTCTGAGATCTTTGGATTATTCATATATTTATTATTCCTATGTGATGATGATGGGGGAGGAGGGCTTCAAGTTGGGTGGTAGAGTAGGGACCTGAACTCTTGTCTTTATACTTTCTCTCTACTGATATTTATAAACAAACTGTCACACACTTGAGAGGTAGCCAATCTGTGGCAAAATGGGGTTGAAGATGAGAAAGTTCACTCTTGCCAGATTAACTCACTTGTTTAAGGATTTATGCTATGAACTTTTTCTTTGATGCTGCTGTAAGTATTGACTAAAGATGTCATTAACAGCAATAATAAAGTACTCTGTAATTTGCAAAGAACTGTCAAACACAGTCTTTCTTATTTTCTTGATTCATTTATTTATTTAGAGACAAGGCCTTGCTCTGGTTGCCCAGGCTGGAGTGCAGTGGCACGATCCTAGCTTACCACAGCCTCCAAGTGCTGGGCTCAAGGGATTCTCCCATGTTAGCCTCCCACAGTGCTGGGATTACAGGCATGAGCC